CCGACCTCTACAATTACAGCGATTTTGGAGAAGAGAACGAGAGGGGCGCCGAATGCAACGGCGATGAATACCTGAAAGACCATGGCTCTTGTTCCGACCTCTGCAGTTGCAGCGATTTTGGAGAAGAGAACGAGAGGAGCGCTGAATGCAACAACGACGAATGCTTGAAGGACTATGGCTCTTGTTCCGACCTCTGCAGTTGTTGCCAGCCCACCACCTTGTCTTGGATTCAAAACACCATGGCACCTGTTCTCCCTCTGCAACGATGTCGAATGCCTAAAAGACGAGGAACCCTTTTTCTAGGAAGCAGCTCCTTCGTCGCCACTACCATTTTTCCGAGAACCCTTTTTCCTCCTCAGAAATATGGGTGATTTTTTATAATTTTTCCTATAAACTAATAATAAACCCTTTGATCGATTGATCGAGAGTGTGAGAGAGATGAGGAGGAGTTGATGAGGGCGGATTTGACCCTCCAATGACACTATAACAATTAAGTGCAGGCTCATGACAACTAGACAGCTCGCCACTCTTAGGCAGCTCGCCACTTACAGGTAGCTCGCCACAAGCAGCTCGCCACAAGCAACTTGCCACTTACAGGCATCTTGCAACAAGCAGCTCGCCACTTACAGGCAGCTCACCATCACGTGGCCTGGCAACTTAGACAACTTGGCACTGCACAGGCAGCTCACCACCAAGTCAAACCGATCACTGCATGACAATCCCGAGGAGCTCACCGCTGTACCCCGCATTTTACGGGATTGTGACTTGTAACGGCTATATTAGCTCACCCACTCCCCGATTTAGGCAGAAATGGGCAACTTTACCGGTTGGTGGCTTTATCCCTACCTAATACGAAAGCATGTCCCATCACAGCGGGAATCCAGGAACGTCCACCAAACCCACGAGGACTCCAGTATATAAAGGCCTCACCCCCCAGGGTGAGGGGGAGGTATGTGTGATCTCTGCTCTCTAGCTCTCTCATTCTCTAATATCATTTTCAGCTCACACTAAGTGCTGACTTAGCCATCGGAGTGACCTCGACGGGTAAACACCCCTGGGTTCTCTGATGCAGTTCTTGCATATTAACCAGGTCCGCCGTCTACAAAGATGAGCAGATCATCTCCTACAAGGAGCAGCCGGGTTGCGCTACACCAGGGAGCTCCACTTCAGCCTCTGAGTCATCGGCCACCTGGGAGCAAACGAAATGACAAGGTACTTAGCACAAAAAAAATGATACGTGATCGGATTATGCCACATCAATTGGTGCCGTTTGTGGGAAACGCTACAAAAAGCTAAGTTCTCATCCTACAAAAAGCTAAGTCCTCTTCTCCTATAAAGCTAAGTCCTCACTTTTTAGAAACTGAAGCTCCCGCTTTATAGTTTCCATATTTTATGAACTCAAAGACTGTGCAGGGAGTTAACAGACTAAGCAGCTCTACCAACTTTACTTTCAATTCAGATAAAACCTCATCAGTCCTCTTCTCGAGGTCCCCTCTACAAAGATGAGCTCTTCATGGCTTCTGCAGGAGTTAGTGGCCAACAGACTACATGGGCACCCTTGCTGGTCGAGCCTTCCAAGGCTCCCGTGTGAGCTGGCGACCTAAAGTTAGTAGTGCTACTCCCGAAGGTCGAGCTCCTAGTAGCTTCTTGTAGGAGTGGGTGACCGGCATTACGAGGCTGATGCAACGCAATCATATCTCTAAGGCACCCACCTGGCGGCCTGCATGCGGCCTGGCATGGCTTGTGCGCGGCCTGGTGGCCTGGCACATGTGCCGACCTACGCGCGGTTTGTGCGCGGCCTGGCAGCCTGGCACATGTGCCGACCTGGCGCAACCCGCGCGCGGCCTGTGTGTGGCCTGGCGGCCTGGTACATGAGCCAACCTGGCAAACTGATAAAAGAATTCCTCATCGCCTAAGACCCAGTCGCCTCTTCAGCATGGGCGAGCTAAGTCCCAGTCGCCTCTTCGGCATGGGCACCTAAGACCCAATCGCCTCTTCGGCATGGGCGAGCTAAGTCCCAGTCGCCTCTTCGGCATGGGCACCTAAGTCCCANCGCCTCTTCGGCATGGGCACCTAAGTCCCAGTCTCCTCTTCGGCATGGGCAAGCAAAGTCCCAGTCGCCTCTTCGGCATGGGCACCTAAGTCCCATTCGCCTCTTCGGCATGGGCGAGCTAAGTCCCAGTCGCCTCTTCGGCATGGACACTTAAGATCTAGTCGCCTCTTCGGCATGGGTGAGCTAGTCCCAGTCGCCTCCTCGGCATGGGCACTTAAGATCCAATCGCCTCTTTGGCATGGGCAAGCTAAGTTCCAGTCGCCTCTTCGGCATGGGCACCTAAGTCCTAGTCGCCTCTTCGGCATGGGCAAGCTAAGTCCCAGTCACCTCTTCGGCATGGGCAAGCTAAGTCCCAGTCGCCTCTTCGGCATGGGCGAGCAAGTCCCAGTCGCCTCCTTGGCATGGACACTTAAGACCCAGTCGCCTCTTCGGCATGGGCGAGCAAGTCCCAATTGCCTCATTGGCATGGACACTTAAGACCCAGTTGCCTCTTCGGCATGGGCGAGCTAGTCCTAGTCGCCTCCTCGGCATGGACGCTTAAGACCCAGTCGCCTCTTTGGCATGGGCGAGCAAGTCCCAGTCGCCTCCTTGGCATGGGCACTAAAAACACAACCACCTCTTCGGCATGGACAAAATCAACAAAAGTGGACTATAAGTTGCCCCCAGAGCCTAAGGGCTACAGTACCGAACTGGCAAAGACCTCAGCACCTTACGGGCAGCTCGCTTCCAAGCAGCTCCTAGAGCCTAAGAAACTGAATCAGCGCTTACGAGCTCGTCGAATTACGGGCCAAAAGGAGAAATCTACTCCCTTCGCCGAGTTACTTTTAGCTCGGGAGTGGGGGGCAAATGATGAGGGCGGATTTGGCCCTCCAATGACACTATGACAACTAAGTGCAACCTCATGACAACTAGACAGCTCGCCACTCTCAAGCAGCTCACCACTCTCAGGCAGCTCGCTACTTACAGGCAGCTCACGACTTACAGGCAGCTCGCCACAAGCAGCGAGCTCTCGCCACAAGCAGCGAGCTCTCGCCACAGGCAGCGAGCTCTCGCCACAGGCAGTGAGTTCTCGTCACAGGCAGCGAGCTCTCGCCACAGGCAGTGAGCTCTCACCACAGGCAGTGATCTCTCGCCACAGGCAGCTCACCATCATGTAGCCTGGCAACTTAGACAACTCAGCACTGCACAGGTAGCTTGCCACCAAATCAGACCGACCACCACATGACAATCCCGAGGAGCTCACCGTTGTACCTCGCATTTTATGGGATTGTGACTTGTAACGGCTATATTAGTTCACCCACTCTTCGATTTACAAGGAAATGGGCAACCTTACCGGTTGGTGGCTTTATCCCCACCTAACACGAAAGCAGGTCCCATCACAGTGGGAATCCAGGAACTGCTCCACCAAACCCACGAGGACTCCAGTATATAAAGGCCTCACCCCCCAGGGGTGAGGGGGAGGTATGCGTGATCTCTGCTCTCTAGCTCTCTCATTCTCTAATATCATTTTCAGTTCACACTAAGTGCTGACTTAGCCATCAGAGTGACATCGCCGGGTAAACACCCCCGGGTTCTCTGATCCAGTTCTTGCAAATCAACTAGGTCCGCTGTCTACAAAGATGAATAAATCATCTCTTGCAGGGAGCAGCCGAGTTGCGCTACACCAGGGAGCTCCACTTTAGCCTCTGAGTCATCGACCACCTGGGAGTAAACGAAATAACGAGATACTTAGCACAAAAAAATGATATGTGACCGGATTCCGTCACATTAGGAGTCATTGGTAATATTGAAGAGTGAAGAACACACGCTGTTAATATTTTAGCCCTTCTAACTTCTGAACAAAAGAAAAACATTTTGACGTTTATTCTTTGGTTTTCTCGTCTTTCCGCGTATTGTCTCTCTCATCGACTACTCTATCTTATAGGCCAGGGGATATCGTTCCCATGAACAAGATGGGCCACCAAGAAGCAGCTCCTTCGTAGCCACTACCACTTTTCCTCCTCGAAGTGGCCAATCTAGATCTCTCGGGCGATACAGAGTGGGAGTGCTGATGCCCGTGGTCCATTTTGGAGTCGGTGCCACCAATTGTGCTAAGCATCAGCTTCTACATCTCTTGCTTAAGGTGGGCATGCCTAGCTTTGAGCTCTTCGATCTTCTTGAGTAGCTCTTCTACTGAAGGGTGTCCATAAGAAAATCCCAATGAAAAACCCCTATAGCATTCGACCTCTGCAGTTCCCATGATTCCGGTGGTTTCCGAGAAGAGAATGACAGGGAAAAGGAAGAGGGGAAAGGTCGTAACTGCGAAGAGAATGAAAGCAAAAGGGAGAGATCATAGATTACACTGAAAGAGGTTAGAGGTGGAGGGTAAAATTAAGTTTTTTAAAAAAATTATATGTTATATGCCTATGAATTAACGGAATGTTAACAGAACTTAACAATAAGGGTAGATTTATTAATTGTTAAAAATAGTAAAAATAGTGTTAGTCAATTTTTAAATAATAATGTATAAGAAATTTACCCTTTTTTATTTACACTTCAAACAAATTTCGCTTAAAATTTATAATTGTGTTTATGATTCTTTTTTGCATAAAAAATCATTTAATTAAGAAATTATTTATAATTTTCCACAGATTGTTAGTAGAGCTTATAAAAATCGTTAAAAAAATCCGAAGATTCACAATTTTTTTGACTTGTGTCGGTGGCTATGCTACAGTGGTGGTCGATGACCACAGGACATGAATTCGGATTTCTCGGATTTAATTCTCACAAGGCTGTACACCGTATTCACACACTTGCAACTGTACATTTAGATATATCGCATGATTAAAACATACAAATACGGAGATATTCACAATAGATGGATGCAAATGCAAGTATTGGGCTTTGATAAATGACCGGACCCAATGTAAAAACTCGTTGTTTGCTACCATTCCAATCCGCAGTGCAGTGTGCTGTGTGCGCTTCTTGTCGGACAGTTTACTGTATTGATTCCTCGTAAGACTCCTTCCATCGCAAGAAAGAAAAGAGAACGCGAGAATTTAGAAAGCCTCGTCAACGAAGCCGTGGTTTGTACGAGTTGTTATATATAAAGTATAAACATAAAAGCCCAAATCCTTTCTTCTCTGATTTCAGAGTTTTCCAACCGTAGCAACTAGCAAGTAGAGAGAGAGAGAGAGATCTGAAGCGCAAGTCTCAGAGCCATGGCGATCTCCTCTCAGTACTCCCGTATCTTCTCTTTATTCACCTTTTTGGTCGTTTTCTTTCCTCCCTGCTTGGCTGAAGTTCGTTTCTCAGAGATTCGCTCAGACGATCGGTCCATAATCCCTTTCGATGACTTTGGTTTCACACACACAGGTCGCCTCGAACTCAACGTCTCTCACATCTCTCTCTCGAATCCTAATCCTGAACTTGATCTCTTCCAAGTCGGCTTTTTCCTCAGCACCAGAGACTCCTGGATCCATGTCCTTCAACAGATCCAGGACGGCGAGATCACTTGTGCCCTTCAATCCGGTCTCGTTAAGGTCGTCTACACTTTCGACCGTCTCAAGGGCGCTAAAAACTTCGGTGTTGTGTTTACGGAGAACGAAGCCAATCAGTTCACTCTAGTCTTCGCCAATTGCCTTCAGCAGCTTCAGATCTCTATGGATATTCGATCTGCCATGTATAATCTCGACGGCAGGAGCGGTCGCCGCGACTACTTGTCGGCCGGCAATTCCATTCTTCCTAGGGTTTACTTCCTATTTTTCTTAGTTTATTTCTCCCTCGCGGGGCTATGGATTTACGTCCTGTATAAGAAGCGTTTGACTGTTTTCCGGATCCACTTCTTTATGCTCGCTGTGGTTCTTTTGAAAGCTTTGAACCTTCTCTGTGAGGCGGAGGATAAGTCTTACATCAAGCGCACCGGTAGTGCTCACGGTTGGGATGTTCTCTTCTATATATTCAGCTTTTTGAAGGGGATTACATTGTTTACCTTGATTGTCTTGATCGGGACTGGATGGTCTTTCTTGAAACCCTACCTGCAAGACAAGGAAAAGAAGGTATTGATGATTGTCATCCCTCTCCAGGTTGTTGCCAATATCGCACAGGTCGTTATTGATGAGTCCGGTCCCTATGCACAAGACTGGATCACTTGGAAGCAAGTGTTCCTGCTCGTCGACGTTGTTTGCTGCTGCGCTGTCCTATTCCCAATCGTGTGGTCGATAAAGAACCTGCGTGAGGCAGCACGATCTGATGGAAAGGCTGCGGTTAACTTGATGAAGTTGACGCTCTTCCGGCAATACTACATCGTTGTTATCTGCTACATTTACTTTACTCGAGTTGTTGTTTATGCCTTGCAAACCATCACATCCTATCGCTATCTGTGGACCAGTGTAGTGGCGGGGGAACTGGCAACACTTGCATTCTATGTCTTCACTGGATATAAATTTAGGCCCGAGGTGCATAATCCATATTTCGTTATTGATGATGAAGAGGAGGAAGCTGCCGCCGAAGCTTTGAAGCTTGAGGATGAATTTGAATTGTAATAGCATCCTTATGAAAATATATAGACCGTCAGACGGTTTAATTTTCCCTAGTGTTAATTACTAGGGGCCATTATGAAAATGAACCTTGGTTTTCGTCAAAGACTACGGCAGTTGTTTCGGGAAGCGGTGGAAGGAATTGGCCATTACAGTGGGATATTTAGTCATTCTTGTAGAAGGCGTGAAACTCTTGTTCACCCTGTTATTGGTGTTATCCTTAGTGTTTTTTAGCGCTTTCTGCATTTGTTGTACTTAAGCAGCCTAGTTTTATAGAATTGGATATTTATCTGTTTATTACTGGGTGAGTGAAACTTACTGATGATATCATATACTCAGCATAAATTTTGGATTAAAGATTGTATTTTATTTCTTTATCATTCTTACATTGAATTTTGAATGCCATTTGTGTACTTTGTTTTTGCTAATTTATACTTCTAACCGCTAAAACTCACTTTTCATAGCGGAATGCTCTGAATTATGAGAAAAATGTACATATAGTGCTATTGTGGATCTTTTTATTAGCTTATGATTAACTAGTAAGAATATGATCGCACTAGTGGAGTCCTCAGCTGTCCTGAATTCCAATATGGTTTAAATGTGATTCTAATCAAACCAAAAGAAAAAAATTATTTTTGATTCATGTAATCCAGTATGATGTTTTGGTAATAATGTCTAACAGTGCTGCATAGTTTCAAGGTGCCAGGGGTGAGGCTATGTATTGCCTTGCCTGTCTAGGCGGTAGATTTTAATTAAAAAAGATTATGGATTCCATGTTAATTCTCTAGTTTTTACATAGCATAATAGGCATCTATTTTGGAAAACAAGACAATGAATCAATGATCTTTACTAGATAATAATAAATTTCATTCCAAAACATGGAAAATCTTCATATCTATAAAAGAATGACATTTTAAATCTATTGATATCAATATCTCAAACACAATATTGTAGTAAAATAAATGTTTAATAGAATATAAAGCAATTGCAGGATAAAAACAATTTCAAATTAACCAAGTAAACAATAAGAAGCCTGTTTTTGTCCAAGAAAAAGAAGGGGAAAAAAATCAAAAGAGAAGAGTGAGAAGAAGGGGGTTGAGCGTTGAGCGCCTGTTTCTCTCAAAGCTTATGCAAGCAAAAACCTATACAAGCTAGAGTGAAACTGAATTTTGATGGCAGTTCTCTATGTAATCCAGGTCCTTTGAGAATTGGGGGAGTCTTCAGAGATGGGGAAGAAAGAGTGCTGGCCCTCTACTCAGGTTCAATAGGGGCAGAAATATAGGCCCTACTTCAAGGTCTCAGATTGGCAAAACAGAGGGGAATGCAACTGTTAGAAGTGGAAGGTGACTTCAAACTGGTAATAAGGTGGCTGCAAGCTGGAAATCTGGGCACATGGTACTTCAGGCAACTGATAAGGGAAATTTTGATTTTAGCAAGGGATTTAAGGGTGCAGTTCAGGTGGGCAAGAAGATCAGCCAACGGAATGGCTGATACTTTATCTAAGCAAGGAGTAAACAGGGAGACTTTGTTCCGGGCCTGTTTGTAGTTTAGTTTTTATTGTAATTGGTTTGTCTAACACCCTTTGGGTGGTGACAAATGTACCTTTTAATCTCTCTTTAATGAAAGTTACTGTTTCCTATCAAAAAAATGCTTTGACATTTAATTACAAGAGTAATTAAAGGAAACCAACTGCTGAAAAGAGATAGCTAAAGATGGGAAATGCGCAGAAAACCAGTAGGATATAGTGGCTGCAGTGGCTCTAGCAATTCATCTTCTTGCCAAGGAACACTGTCAAATAATCTGTGATTGCTCTCTTTCCAGAACCTCTAAAAAGTAGCTGCAGGTTCTAGAATCTTGAGAACAGTCTGTTGGTTGCAGAAAACCCAAATTCTCCGTAAGGCATGACAGTGGACAAAGAGGTGAACAGCGAACCTAAGTCATCTCAGTCTGTTGGTCGCCGAACCCACGCCTGGTATCATTAAAGGAATAGAAGGGGTAGGAACACATGTTTCAGTCCAAGAGAAAGATGGTGTGGTAGGCTCTACTATCTATCTATCTATCTATCATTCAGGTGGTTTTATGCTGGTTTTATTATGCTTTTGAATTGCAGATGGGAAGTGGAAAAGTGGCATGAATGTTGTGATTGGTGGATAATGGGATGACTAAGCTCCTTAGTCATTCTATTGTTCATTGAGGTGACAGAGTGCAGGTTCCTTTTCTGTCCTATTTTCTGCTTCTTCTGTAATCAGAACACAGCCTTAAGATTGTCTAGTGTTGCTGATTGGGCATATTTGTGTTGCACTGATATGCTATAATTTTTTTTGACAAGTATTGATATGCTATAATTGTGTGAGTTGTTTTCTGTATTTTATCATTATCATCATCATCAAAGGCCAATTTTGAATTCTTTTCTGCATATAAATTCTTGATGATTTTGTTTGGTATTTTACTCTCCTAGGGATGTCAATTGACTGGATAGATATTGGTCCAACCCAACCCAGTCCAAGATGAGTCCCTTACAGATGGACCAGGTCCAATCCAATCTGATGAATACTTTGGAGTTTGGACCATTAATGTCCAGACTGCCCAATCTATTCAAATTGATTTTAATTTAGATTGGGTCCAACCCAAACCATAGTTGTCAAGGCGACGCCTAGGCGGGCGCCTAGGCGACAAGGCGCCCTTGGAGGCTCGCCTCGCCCAGTCACCTAGCAGTTTTGTATACTGTCTTATAAAATACTTTTATATTGTTACTTTTTTGAGATTATAATTATAAAATAGACATTATTAAACAAAAATATTCATTTTTNATATTCTTATTTGTTAGGGTTTAATCAACACAAACATTGCTAACTGCTGTATTGAACCCTCAAAGACTTCAGAATTTGAACCAATAAGTAAGGGAAAAACTTAAAGTTTTGTCTAATCAACACATTTCTTCCTCCACATCTTCTTCTTCTTCTTCCACATCTCCTTCCACCTTTTCTTTTCTTCTTTTCCTACAACAAAAATAGGGGTTCAGTCCACATATTTATTGAATTTTCTTTTCTTTCTTATTTTTCTTATTTATCAAAAAAAAATGTTGATTTTCTAGACATAAACATGAAGTTTATAATTTTCTTATGAAAATTATGGATGGTTATTAAGGAAAGATGGTTATGGAACCTAGGGAACTACCTAGGATATGTATTTTTCACTTAAAAAAATCCATCGCCTAGGTGACTAGGTAACAAGGCGCCCCCGGGTCGCCTAGCCTCGCCTTGGCGCCTTGAAAACTATGACCCAAACATAATCCATCAACACCTGTACTCTTATCTTCTGTCAATGGACTAGATGGTTCTATCCGACCCAGTCCAATAAACATCCATTACAGATGGACCAGGTTTGGTTTTGGTTTTGGTTAACCTCGTACAAAAACCGGTGGTTAACCAAACTGACCGGTGTATATATACAATAATATATTGTATAATGTATATGTTATATATTATATTTATATTTTATGTTCGGTGGCCTTTTCAAGGCTCTTTAATCCAATAGCATGTAAGCAGGTCTTCAAGGCTCTTTAATGAAAAGCCGTTTTAGGTTTCAAAAAAGTGTCCACCTGGCGCCTGGCACCTTTCCAAGAAGGGGAAAGTGGGAAAATGGTTTAGGTTGGAAAGTGGAAAACTTTCCCCTTCTTGGAAACCTAAACCATTAAACATAGGTGCTTCATTGTATTCTTGTGTTACTGGATTTTCTTCTTTTTTTTGCTTTTATTAATTTATATGATTTGATTATTCTGCAGAGAAGGCGAAGATGGGAGAGAAGGAATGGTACTTCTTTTCTAGAGAGATAGGAAGTACCCAACGGGCATGAGAACCAATAGAGCAACTGAAGCTGGGTACTGGAAAGGATAAAGAGATCTACAGGGGTAAAGCTTGTCTTGTTGGGATGAAGAAGACCCTTGTTTTCTACAGAGGGAGAGCGCCCAAGGGGGAGAAAACCAACTGGGTCATGCATGAATACAGATTGGAAGGAAAATTCTCTTATTATAACCTCCCTAAATCTGCAAAGGTAGGTTCCTTTCTCCTTTTTCTTTTCCCCTTTTTATATTTAATTCAAAAGTTCATCATCTTTCTTTTTCTGTCACATGATATTCTACATGCTCTCTCTCTCTCTGGCCGTCTGCCTGCTTCTGAGAAGAATATATATAAGAAAAACTCTGGTTTTTCTTTCTGTGTTTGCAGGATGAATGGGTCGTCTGTAGAGTATTTCACAAGAACACGGGCGCCAAGAAAAGCACAGTTTTCCTCTTAATTTTGAGTGCAAAAAAAAATAAAACCAAAAAACCGAACCGCGGTTAACCGATCCACCGGTACATCGGTTCGGTTTCGGTTTAGATTTAAAAAAACCGATCAAGTTGGTTCAGTTCAAAAAAAAACCCCACGGTTCGGTTAACCAAACCGTGAGCACCCCTAGTTAAATCAGAATGTCCTTTAAGTTTTTGTGTGGTTACAATAGGCTGAAACTTAGTTACTAGATTAGAAAGCAGATAGAAAGCAAGAAGTCTTAGTGTTATTTTTCTGTTTATTGAGGAAGTTGGAGTCACCTGAGCTCCTGGGTACTTGACTATGAAATCCACATGATTGCCTCCATGTTAGTGGCTCAATGTCAGCATGATGCTAGAATTTTTAGAGTGGTCTTCCTTAGGAAAACTCTATTTTGACAATGATTATAGACTCTTTTATCACAATTGAATAATAATATAGTTTTCTGGTATGGAATCAATAAACCATGCACATTGGCAGTGGAAGGAATTTGGCAGGGCAAAGGTTTTTAGCCTTGAATTTCCATGTTTACTGTAATTAGAAAAGACCATGGGATATTAGTCATTTAAATTCTATAGAATCAAGGCGAAAGTGGAATTCAATTTCAAATCTACTATGATTCAAAGTTTCAAACACAGTCTAATAGTTGATTAAGTACAAAAATTTCCTTTTTGGTTTGAGAATCATATAAAATGGATATCTGGATTTTAGGAAATGAAGAGTCATTTCCCTGTTTCTCATATCTGTGTTGGTTATAGTATCTAGGAATCATAGATCAGCCACCTTTCCTTGTAAAATTTCTGATCATCCTTGACGTTGGGTGGGCTTGGAACTAGTCATGCTCCCTTGCTTTCATTTTCAAGTTTTCTAGTCTTATTAAGTTGTCGATGAACTATCACAAATAATCCCCTTTTAGATAGAACTAGCCTTAGTGGTAAGCACAACTCTGTCTGCCCAAGAGATGGTTATAAAAAATATCTGGCCTACCAGTTTGTAATTTCAAAGTTTCCCCAACAACAACTAACAACACTTTGTATAGGGATCATTTTCATCAATATTTTAAAAACTGAACATAGCATCAAATTGGAAAGGCTGATTCTGGTTTGACTGTTTGACAGAACTAGGCAATCGGTTAAAAAATATTTCATTGTTCAACTTGCCTTACCAAAGTCAACTGTTTTGAACTATAGTTCTGGTGGTTCTTGGTTTGGGTTCACTTGTCTGGTTTGGATATATTCAGGTGGAGGTGCCATGGTGCTTGTTGTAAATGCAAAATTAGATGCATGGACAAATGTCTTAGAATTTTTTTTTGATAAATGAGAGTAATTTTGTTGAAAAAAAATCAGAAATACAAGCAGCCTAAGAAGAGGCACGAGATGCTATCTCCCCCAAGGACTGAATCATAAAAACTAAAACATGCCCAAACCTGAGATACAAATTACAAAGTAGCCCAAAACAGATCACCCCTYGACACCCCTTGCTTGGCCAGAGAATCGGCCATTACATTTGCTGATCTGCTAATCCACTGGAACCTAACAGTCATATTTCTTGTCATCCATTTAACTTTCTTTAACAGATCCCTGTAGCCCCAACAAACTGTGTCTGGGCTATTCAGCCAGCCCACTACTACCTTGGAATCTCCTTCTACTAACAAATTGTTCACTCCTAATTACTAGCCATCTGTATGCCTTGTACCGCTGCTAGTAGCTCTGCCCTTACAGAATTGCCTTCACCCGCTGGTCCTGAGAAGAGAGACAACGTATTGCTGTCTTGATCTCTCAAAATCCCTCCAATTCTGGATGGCCCTGGGTTACCTTGGCAGCTGCCATTAAAGTTCAATTTTACCACTCCATCCGGTGAGGGTTTCCATTCAACTTGTAATTTGTTCCTAGTGGAGACCGTAGAAGCCAATGCTTCCAAATTTCTCCTTAAGTCATCAAAGGAGAAATCTGCCAACAATTGTGAAGATTTCAGCCATGAAATTGTCTTTGTCAATATRCATTCCTTGACTTCAGCAAAACTTCTTTCATTTTCTTGAAATATTCTAGCATTTCTTTCCTCCCATAAAATCCACAAGGTGGCGGCTCTGATACATTTCCACATTATCTTCCCCCTTCTTGTCAATCTCCCAAGAGCATCTAGAGTGAACAACAGCTTTACTTCAGAGGACAAGTTCCACCTGCACCCAAATAAAGAAACAACCCAATTCCAAATATTGGCAGCAAAGGAACACGATATCAGCAAATGGTTACAGTCCTCACCCTTCACTTTACACATAAAGCACCAATTTGGGGACAAACACAAAGAAGGTTTCTTCTTTTGCAAGTTTTCCACAGTATTGATTTTACCATAATAGGCTTCCCAACAGAACACTACTACTTTGGGGGGTAATGGCCTTGACCAAACCTCTTTAACAGGGAAGATTTGAGAGAAAGGGTTAGAGCAAAGGGCTTTAAAGAAAGATGTGCAAGTGAAAGAGCCAATCGGGTTTAGAGCCCAGACTCTTTTGTCCGGGTTAGTGGGGTCCAGGCACACCGAATCTAGAAGCAACAACTCTGAGACACAGAAATTCTTCATCCCTTAACCCTCTCTGAAACCCAAAATTTCAATTTAAAGCCAAAGGGAAAACCGGGGGGGGGGGGGAACCAAGAAATGGGTTTCTTTTTAAAGAGGGATATGAAATAGAGAGAAGGGAAACGGTCTTTTAGGGGTTGAGTGCTTACCCAAGTATCTTCCCAAAAAAGAATAGAGTTTCGAAAACAAGCATTGTACCTTACAAACCTAAGGAAATTAGGGAGAATGCCAGAGATAGCCTTCTAGGGAGTTGTGAGCAAAGCCCTTCGGGATAGCCCCGCATCCCAACCTGATTCAGAACAGCCATGGATATTTTTCACTACTTCATGCCACAACCTCTCCCTCTCCAGAGGCCACCTCCAAAGCCACTTACCTAAAAGAGCCTCATTCTTACTCACCACATTCCCTAAGCCTAGTCCATTTTTGCTCCTACTCACCACCTCCAACCTAATCAAGTGGTCTTTTTTCTTTACACCAGGTTCTCATAAGAAGTCCCTCGTCAGTTTTTCCAACCCCTTTGCCTCCTTTTTAGGAATTCTAAAGACTGATAGGAAGTATAAAGGCAAGTTGGCTAAAGTTGCTGTAATCAAAGTAACTCTACCACCCACGGAGATGTAGTTCCCCTTCCAAGTTGCCAATCTTTTTTCAAAAATTTCAACCACCGGATTCCAGAACCTACTTTCCTTGGGATTTGCACCTAGGGGAAGTCGTAAATAGGATAGAGGCCATTGAGAGCAAGTGCATTCTAACAAGGCTGCTATAGACTCCACCTCCTCTTTGTTCAAATGAACCCCCACAACACAACTCTTCTCAAAATTTACCTTCAAATTCGAGGCCTTCTCAAAGTAAATTATTAAATCCTTCAGATTCCTTACCTCTGTCAAATCACAACCTTCACAAAAGATTATTATATCATCTGCAAATTGGAGATGGGTTACTGACACTCTGTCTCTACCTATTCTCCACCCTCTTAGGGATCCGGCTCTATCCTCTTTTGAAAGGAGTCTACTAAAGGCATCGACGACTAAAGAGAAAAGGAAAGGTGACATGGGATCACCTTGTCTCAGACCCCTGCTAGCTGGGAAAAAATCAGTAACTACCCCGTTGACTAGGATGGAATAATGGCAACTAGAGAGGCAACCGTTTATCCATTTGCACCACTTATCCCCAAACCCACACTTCCTTAGCACGAGTAATAAGAATCCCCAATCCACTAAGTCATAGGCCTTTTCAAGGTCAAGTTTACAAACATAACCTTTACACCCCGATCTCCTCATCTCCTTCACGCATTCATTTGCTATTAGAATCTAATCTACAATTTGTCTCCCCTGAACAAAATCTCCTTGCGCTTGGCTTATAAGATGAGGAAGCACCTGCTTTATTCTCAAGGATAAGACTTTTGCCACAATCTTGTAAACGCTAGTCACCAAACTGATAGGTCTAAAGTCCTTTGGATGCTTGGCCTCTTTCTTTCTCGGAATTAAGGCTAAAAAAGTAGAATTAATTCCCGACTCATCACTTGATTGTTCTCAAATTCCTTGAAGACCTCAATTAAATCCTCTTTGACTATGTCTAAACAATCTTGAAAGAAAGCCATTGTGAACCCATCTGGCCCTGGTGCTTTAGATCTGTCCATGGAAAAAACAGCTTTTCTAATTTCTTCCTCCTCAAAAGTCCTCTCCAGCCAGCTTCTACTCTCTTCTGGAAGCCTCTGCTAGGTCACACCTTCCAACTCCACTCTAGGGCTTAGGGGTCTCCACAAGATGGATTTGAAATGGTCAACAAAACAAGTGGCTATCCTCTATTGGGTATCAAAGACTGTTCTACCACTTCCAGTTTGGAAACTAGGTTTTTCCTTCTCCTTCCATTGGTTAGGTCATGAAAAAATTTACTGTTCCCATCTCCTTAATCCACTTGCATCTAGACTTCTGCCTCCAAGAAATTTCTTCTCTCAAAATAACTTCATTTAACTCTCTTTTCAGATTCCATCTCTGATCTCTATCCTGAGGGCTTAAGGCTCTTTGGGATTCCTTCTCATCCAGTTCCTCTATTTGGGTCAACAGAGATGATTTCCTTTCTTCTATTCTCCCACAATGCTCCCTATTCCAATCCTTCACATGTGCTCTCAATCTTTTTATTTTTTTCATGGAATCTTACCCCTTTCCACTTCACCCCCCTTAGGTCTTCTCTCCACCATTCCTCAACCTTCTTCACGAAGTCCGGGTGAGTCAACCACATGTTCTCAAACCTAAATGGTCGAGGTCCTTGCCTAAAAGTCTCCTGTCCTAGGCTAATGGGACAATGGTCAGATGTGACTCCAGGTAAAGCCCTTGTTAACAAGTCCGCCCACTTGTTTTCCCAGCTTTCATTGAAGAGGAACCTATCTAATTTGGAGCAGGTTAGTACCTCCTGAAAATTGGACTAGGTATAGTTAGCTTGCAGCAACGGGAGTTCCTTTAACTCAAAATTATTAATAAAATTGTTGAATCTCTGCATGCTGGTTGTAATGACCTGGTGGGGGTTATTTGATTCATTCGTAAATCGAATTACATTGAAATCTCCCCCCAAGCACCATGGACCCTCCCAAAGCCCTTGAATCCCATAAAGCTCTTCCCACAGTTTGTTCCTTTCTCTATAATTGCTTGGTCCATACACATTAGTTAGGGCCCAGACAAATCCATCCTCAACCATCTTGAATTTTAATGACATTGAAAAATTACTTACTAGCTCCTCCAAAACCTCCACCGTATCCTCTCTCCAAAAGGTAGCAATTCCCCCCGAAGCCCCCCAAGAAGGTGCTGAAACCCAACTTATTCCTCTAGATTTCCAGATACTTCTTACCCATCTTCTATTGATATCAGCTAGTTTGGTCTCCTGAAGCATCACTATATCCGGCCTTTCCCTTCTAAGGAGGTTCTCAATCAGCCTTCTTTTCCTAGCACTACCCAACCCCACACATTCCAACTAATGATTTTCATGGTAGTAAAAGATTTGACATCCCCCCTCTAAGGTCAGACCTCTACCTAGAGGCTTTCCTTCTCTCCCCTCTTCCGCTGAATTCCAGATTTTCTTCTATATCTGATATCAGCCTTTCCACCTTTGATCTTTTCTTCTTCCTTCGGTTATTAAATGTTCCAGATCTGCTTAAGACTGCTTTTGTTTTATTTTGCTTTTTTGAGATTTCTTGGTTTTCCTCCAAAGATTCCTCTTTTTGCCTGTACTCTTCAAGGAGGTCACAGATCTGTCCCCAAATCCTCTCTAATTCCTCATTCTGCATCTTTCCCATAATTGATTCACCCTTCGCATTTTTCCTACTTTGATCCCCTGTTTTTGCTGAAACTTCTTTAACCTCACCCTTCCCTCCCTCTTCCTCTTTTCTCTTATACTCCAAAAACATACAGATCTGATCCCAGATCATCTTTAACTCCTTTTCCTGTGATTCTCTTTCCCTTACCACTTCCTCCCCCCCTTGTCCCTTCCAACCTTGGCTGCTGCATCAAGTTGAGCTGCAGGAGTACCTGTTTCAGGTAGAAAACCGACATCAGTACCATAAAACGAATTGACAATATTGCCTGAATGGTTGTGGGAAGATGTCAAAAACTCTTGAGGGGCAACACATAGGGGCAAGGTCACAGCTAATCCTTCCAAAGAAGATGACTGTGGGTTCCCATTGTGTTTAACCAATGTTGTTTTAATCCTTGCATCAGAATTTGTCTTTGTAAGTTGTCCCCTTGTTGATAACTCTGTGATCGGTGACCAAGGTAATTCCTGTTCCTCTATTCCTCTACCGGTGCCGTGCTGCTCTAGTGAACTGGGAGCTAATTTAAGAACCGGTGTCCCCTGCCTCTCCTCTAAGAAATCTGCGGTAAACCCCAAATCTGTAGCTAATAAGATACATTTAGAGTGCAACTTCTGGGCTGAAACTGAAGCATCCAGGTCATCATTTTCCAAAAAAGGCAGCTCGGTGTGAAGGCTCTCATCACTAGGGGATTTGGCTTTTTCCAGATCCACGCTTCCAATACTTGAAGAGTCTTCAGACTCTGAATCTGAGCTACTTTCTTCCTCTGTAGCACAGTCTCGACCGTGTCCGTAAAGACCTGATTTACTGTCTCCGAAAAAAGGGAACTCCCTGACTCCGCTGTCAACGATTGCTTCTTGAACCTCGGATTGCGCCGTTCGGGAGAAAACTTTCTTCTTCTTGCTTGGAACCCATGCTCAGTTCGAACTTGCCACTCTGCCGCTGCTAGCTTTCTCCACTGCGAGCGGTAGAAGAGGTTTACTCGTGGAAGACGATGATAGACCATTTTTTTGGTTCATCATCCTCTCCAAACCTTTAGTCACGTGCCTACTTAAACTGGTCCGTCGGACTTTAGAATTTGGGTTCGCTCTCTTTAATCCGGCCGGCCCATTTGTAGGAAAAGGCCCCCTTATTTTTGATGGGTCTGGGCCCAACCCCCCAACTTCTTTACCAGTCACGTGTTCACTTAAGGAGACATGTGACTGGCCTCGGTTCAAAGGAGTAGACAGGACCAGCTTACAAGACCGGCTTAACCCCTGAACCTTTGCCTGCCTTAGTTCAGTTTCTTTTGAAATTTGAACTCCTGGCGCAAGTCTACCTCCAATTAAACCTCCTATCACCGAATGAACATAGGACCTGCTATCCCTCAGCCCGCCCTGCCAAACAGACTTTCCCCAAGTAGTTAAATTTTTTTCTTTTCTCTCTTTTTTCCTAGTTGCCTCAGAAGACTTGGCCTCTTTTGTAGTGTCTACTCTGCCTTGCAAACCAAGCAACCAGGCCTATTCTGCCCCTTCATCTTCCTCCCTTCTTCCCTCCTTCCAAAGCTGGGCTTCGATGGATTTAGCAAGCCAAACGCGTTAATACTAAGCTCTCTGAAACAACCTCTATCTTCCTTGGGATGTCACTGGGTTTAGCACCACTTAAACTCACTGCAACTGAATGGAGATCACAATCAAAAACTCCTAATTTTGCATCACAAATTAAAGCTATTGACTGTAAAACTTCCTCCTTTCCGAGATTGAAAGGTAATCCAAGCACTCTGACTATTACATTGTCTTCAATCTCAAAGCATTTGGTATTAGATTAGCGGACACCAACTCGAGACTGTAGCAGCACCAGCCTCAGAAAGAATGTTTAAAGCTGAAATCTCTACTTTAACTTCACCCAGATCTATCAAAGCTTTACAGGGTTCATAAGGAGTACTCACCATCGGCTTCCGCAGGTTTAGTTCTTTGAGAATCGCCTGAGCAATACCTCTCCAATCCCTTGGTGGACTTGAAGTCTCAACCACAAATTTCTTCTCCCAATCCTCTTTTTCTGCTGTTGCTACCAGTTTACAAGATCTTTCCCCTTTTTCTGCAATCATCCATTTCCTGTCAGCGGGTTCTTCCTTTCTCTTGTGATTACCCCCTTTCATTTCCTTTACTGCAGCCTCTACTTGTTTTGTTTTCATCTGCTGAGTAAAGTCACTTAGTGCCTCTGCCACTACCTTCCATCCAACACCCTGTTTACCTTCTGGGAAACAAGCCAGCTGCTTCTTTCTTCCTCCGAAGAATTCCTACAGTGTTATGTAGCAGCCTTTTGCATTCCACCTCATAGCTCTTTCTTCCATCAAGGTTGAACTTCGTAAAGTTCAGTTGCTTACCTTTGGAGCTTGCTTCTGAAACATAACTCTGCAACCACTCAATCACTTCAAGACCTTCCAACAATATTGTGGCTCTCTTTGCCTCCCTAAATCTTCAAGCTCTGCTGGCCCCTGATCCTTATCTCTTCAAATAATAAATCTTTTGCTTCAATCTTCACCGCTCTCCTCCATCTAGCAGCCTCTACAAACCTATTCTCCATCTCTCGCTTTAAGTTCTGGCAATATCTTACCAAAAGTCTTACTTGAGACAGTGATTTTGTCTACAGGTAGAATATTCTCTTAGAAAAGTCTTAGAAAAAGTTTTGGTTGATGAGATTATGCTAGTTTGACTGATGAGACTTAGAGATGGGATAAATCTAAAATTGGAATTCAAGGGGATGCTTTAAAAATCAAAAGTTACAGGATAATCCAGAGAAGGAATATATGGAATGAGGTTTAATTTTTACATTTTTTTTATTCTCAACAGTAAAAGATGATTAATTTCTTTAAAGAAAAATTACATCCTATCCAGAGTTTGGATAGTTCGATACAAAGAAAACTAGCAACAATGCTGGCCACCCCTGTTTAGCTACTAAGAATGACGTATGAAATTCACACCCTGACCCAGTTAAGCATTTTTAGGGCCAAGAAGTATCAATATATGGTAGGGGTGGAGCCCCTGTTTTAGATCAATAATACATAGGGAACAAATACTAAAATTAAAGAAAATGAAAAAGAAAAGTAGGGGTGGAGCCCCTGTTCTAGAGCCACAAAAGCTAGTGAAAAAATATTAAAATAAAAGAAGAAAAGAAGGGGCGGAGCCCTGTTTCAGAAACAAATGATGAGAACAAAAAAAAACCTGAAAAAATGCAAGAAATTAAGAACAAAAGGGGGCGGAGCCCCTGTTCTAGACCCAGAAAATCTAGTGAAAAAAATACTAAAATAAAAGAAGAATATGAAGAATAAAAGAAGGGGTGAAGCCCCTGTTCCGCCCCTGTTAAAGACACCAATAATGAGAAAAAAAAAAAGCTGAAAACATGCAGGAAATTTAAGAACAAAAGAAGGGGGCGGAGCCCCTGTATTAGTCCAATGAAATGATTCAAAAACTTGGAGAAAAGATACAAAAAGGAAGAGAAAAATGGGGCGTAACTACTGTTTTAAACCAGGAAGTAGAGAACAAAACTAAGAAGAAGAAGAAAACTGATTAACTCACCTTGACTTTAGAGGACTGTGTGGGAACGATGGAGGGCTGTTGTTCTCTCCTCTTCGTCAGTTCGATTCTATTGTCAAAGTGAAACCCTCGAAGATTACTTTTGTTTTTACTTTCCTCAAAACAAAAGCATGATAACATGCAATAGGTTCTATTATAAAAACTAAAACAACCAATAAAATATTATATATTTTGTATTTTTTATTTAATAAATATTTATATAGTATATATTTGCTTCAGCCCCCTAAGCATGCGCCTAACATAGTTGGTGTTTGGGCAAGGCATTCTTTGAAAAGCGCCTAGTCGCATAGGCGACGCCTAGGCGTCTAGGCGTCGCCTTGACAACTATGGGAAGATGGTATTTTTTGGAGGTTCAACATCCAACCACCAACTATGGAGGCTGATTATTGCAGAAAAATCTAGATTCTGGAACAAGGAATTTGAGTTGGGTTCCTGGTATTAGTAACAAGTCCCATGAATGTTTGATTTGGAGAGGATTGGAAAGTTTTCATAACTTTATCCAAGGAGTGAGAATGAAGGTGGGGGATGGAGTCAGTGGTGTGATGACATAGCTCTAATGGAGATGTTCAATTCCCTTCATTCTTCATCCTAGCTGAGGACGGAGGTGTGAGGAGCTGATCTCTTTTAGCTTCAAGGTGAAACTGGTGGTTTGGTGCCCATTTTTTATAAGACTTTTGAATGATTGGGAAATAAAAGACTTGATGAGACTGATTTAGCTGCTTAACACTGCCACTCCACACCTGGAGAAGGTGGATGAAAGATTTTGGAAGTGAGACAGATCTGGAAAGTAGTAAGAAGTGAAGGGGCTAGAAGAGCTCAGGGTAGTAGACCAAAAAGGATATGAATACAGTAGTAGTAAGAAATGTTTTAAGCACTAAAAATTTAACAGTGGATATGGCTTTAAATAGAACGAAATGGTGAAACAAGGTTCGTGTAGCCGACACCATATAGTTGGATAAGGCATGGATGGTGATGATGATGATGAGACAGATCTGAAAAGTTTTTTGTTAGACTCTTCTTCAAGAAATTGAATTGAATACTAGAGGCAAACATTCCATATAAAGTTTGGATACTACATGGGGCCATCAAAAGTGGCTTTCTTGCTCTGGACTGCAATATCAGGCAAATATCTAAACAGAAATGACCTTGAAAGAAGTAATTCCAGCCTGAGTTCAGTGATTTATGTATTTTGTGGGGAGGAAAGTGAAATGGAAGATCTTTAGTTCTGGTGTCGCGTGATCTGGTCGCTCCCTTGTGTCAGTCAACTCGGATACTGGTTCAGATGGTTCTTTGCTTAGGCCGAGTTGATATGTTCTACAAGGAGGAAGGTTAGAGTGCCTGGGTTGTCTCTACCCGAGGAGGGCATTCCGATGCTTAAGTCAGATATTGTTTATAGAAATCTTGAGAGAATGAGAGAGCTTGAGAGTGTATAATTGGGCGTACCTTTTCAGGTAGAAGTGAGTGCCTTATATAGGTTTCGATGGTCAGAGCCCTTCACAATGGGTCCTCTTTCTTGCGGAGCCGTTTTCACTTAGTCGGGTGGATTAATATGTTGGTTACGAGATTTGCGCGGAGGTTACGATCTGCCCGAATAACTCTGAGGCGTGCGATGCGGTAGGCCGGTCTAATAGTCGAGACATTAACGTCCCAGAGATCTCGGGCTGGTAACGCATTATCGGTCCAAGTCAGCAGGCTCTCCTCGCATGTCACTGTGGATTCCTACAGCTCAGCTGGTCTGAGACAGCTTGCCGCGAGTTAGGGAGCCTGTCAGTTCAACCCGATCGAGGTGGAGATCAGTTTAGGCGAGGTGCTCCAGGCTGACTTGCTGAGCTAGTTTTCTTACTCAACGCTGAGGTGTCACTTGAAGGCCACGTGTCACGAGGCAATTAGGAGGACCAAATTACCCCTCATTAAGTTCCTTCAATGTCCTACAGCATGAGACATCTATAGCCACTTCTGCAAGATTCTAAATACCAGCTGGTGCCACCCAAGATCGCTGAGGCGGCATTTGTTAGGCTGGAAATTATAGGATTTAATTGGAGAGGCAGATTACAATGGAGTACAATACTTGTGGCTGCGACTTGGTGCATGTAGAAGGAAAGAAATCTCAGAACTTTTGAATACAAGCGGAGTTCCCATGAGGAGTTGACTAGAAGATAAAGGTATACCACAACATGCTTTTTTCATACCAAGACATTTTTGTGATGGCTATATGTAAGGCAGCATATTTTTAGTTTTTGGCTATGCTATCTGTAATTTCTTAACAAGTACAATGCTTTACCTTCTCTCCAAAAGAATAGTGCAAGTTGAAAGCTTTAAGAGGTTAAGCAGGAAACTTTAAGGCTGTGTTTGTTTCAACATAAAACAACTGGAAAAAATTTCAGTCTGAAATGCGTGAGCTATATTTTCACCCCTTTTATGAATGAAACATTGTTTTCCTTGTCATTTTCATCAAAACAATTTAGATAAGGTGGAAAACAAATTTTTTGTTCCAAGGGGTGGAAATAATAGCTGAATTATTTCAGTCCAAAAAAATTGTCTATTTTATGGAGAAAAAATGTTGCTTTAGCAGGAAAAAATAAAGGAGAATTAGAGGACATAATAACTCTGCCAATGTGAGGTTGTCTTATATTACTGGTCCCAAGCCTGGATAAAGGAGGGGAATGCATCGAGTTGGCACCTGAGACTATTAAAACTTTTGCCAATCTCTCATGGTTATGGATCCTGATTTTTTTCTTTTTATTTTTTTGTGCTCATGTTAGGGCGTTCCCCAGAAGCAATATGCTATAATGGATATGCACCGAAGAGAATGGAAGGGCGAAACAAGATTCATGTAGTCAGCCCCATATAGTTGGGACAAGGCTTAAATGATAATGGTGATAGAGGATATAATTGTTGTAGAAAAGGCAAGCCTTGGTTGTGTTCAATCTCATAAATGAGGTACATCTTACCTAACCTTTTGCTTTGTTTGATGAATTAACTTTGAATTTGAATTTGATGTTGAATGCATCCTATTTAAACAGGACTTGAATGTAAAAGACTACAATATTTTGTGTTAATGACATGATATTAGAACCATTTAAGCCAATAGGCTTTGCAAAAAATTTCAATTCTTTAAGAATTTAGATGTGCATATTCCTGTTTATTAAATATTTCCTTTATTTTCAAAAGTTGCTATCTTTCCTTGCACCTAGCATTTTAGGCTCTAGAAATTCTTTGCACTCACTTCTTGCTTTTAAAACAGTGGATTTTTCTAAATGGTTAAAATCAATTTATTTGAGGTGGTTAGTTAATGCCAATGTGTGTTGTTCTCCTAGTCCTAGGAAATGTGATGCCTTGACAATTTAAAAAGCTAATATACTCATTAGATGTAGATAGTAATTCTGAATACATACCCACGCAGAAAGATAAAGAATACATAAAGTTGTGTTTAGAACTTTATTTTTCAGAGTCAGTTCAGATTTAAAACAACATATTATTTCTATGCTTGGCCAGCTTTTTCGAGCTACAACTACTAGGTCAGGTTGAGGCAACAAAACAATGGCTCAGGAATCACAAGCATTGATGCAATTAAGTGCCATGGGGCATTTAATATAGTAGGGTGTTCATAAGAATAACCAAACCGATCAGACTGATCAAACCAATCCGATCTAACCTAATTTGGTCGGTTTTTTTAAACTTTTGGTTGGCCTCGGTTTATAAATATAGACAACTCAACTGGTGGGGTTGGTTTCGGTTTTTCAATCTGAAAATCAAAACCAACCCGAACCGAATCGACTATGGCTAATAGAAGTCTAATACTTCTGGTTTTATTATAGAAATAACGGGACTCCCTCCACTTTTAAGATTTTACGCAATACTTTTTACAAATATAGACAGTTGGACTTTATTACTATTTATTTACATTAGTCTTAAAGTTGAAGAGACTTGCAAGACTTGCACAAAAATAGCAATTATCTTTGGGTTTGGAGTAGTATAGATGCAGGCACACAGAACTCAACAGCCTATATGACTTGGAAAAAGATGTGTTTGACTCAAACACCCAATGGGTCAAATCAGCCAATTAGAGTCATAAAAAATAGGAAAGGAGATTGAAAATCAATAAATCACCCAGGATGACCAATTGACTATCCCCAAACTGGCCCGACTAAACTGAAAAATCGATCCAAACTGACCCTTCATTTTTGGGTCCGTTTTTCCTTATAACCGGTCAGTTTTGGGTTACTTGTTTATCAACCGATCAGGTTGGTTCGGTTGAACGAAAAACCTACAACTGACCCAATCCGACCTGTGAACACCTGAATAATATAGGGCTTAGCCTGTCACATGGGAAGTAGGCGATGCAAAGGTCGAACGTGGATGCAAGAACAATCTGTGAATGTATTGATCGGAGAAATAAGTTAAAAAGCAGGTTTTGTTTTGACGTTAAGATGGCTATGCTTTGATTATAGGTTGCATTTCACTTCACATGAACCTGGATATGGTCATACTCAAGCTTTGTACAACATGCGTGCTTTTCTGTCCCAGGCCCCGATTTATTACTGCTTAGCGTAGGTGAAGCAACACCTACCGGCCGGCCTCACCTTTATCGCATGACTTTGACCCTTGTTCCACTCAAATACTTGTGGTGGTCCAATTCTTCCTGGTGAAGCAAATTTTCCGACTCACGCATCCCAGCCCTGTGCCTCTCACCATCCTAATTAAAATGAAAAATATTTATCTGATCACTGGTAGGTTAGTTAAAAGGAGAATTGAGGTGGCAAGTAAAGGCACAACATCCATGCGCGGATCATGAAGGCAGTGTTGAGTTGAGGATGCTTTGGCTGGGCCCCGGTTGTTTTCTCCTTACAATGAAGAAGGCAACAATTCATTGATTGGTTGTAAGATGCGACTGCCTGAATAAGGCAACAATTCACAACATTGCAAATTACTTGAGGGGCGTTTTTGTAGTCAGACAAAATATATTAAGGGTTTGTTTGGTGTGTCTTTCTGTGCAGTCTTTCGGTTGTTTACAAGTTGGGCAAACTGATTTTTGGTCTATTTTCGTTTAGTTCATAGAAGATCTAGCCACCAAAAGCCAGAGCGTCAAAAGGACGTGAGAAGCCCATTTTGGGCTGATTTCGAGAAGCTTCAAATGAAGCTTTTTGCATCTTTCATGTTTTATTCTCATGCAGAAAGACATATAAAGATGTACGGAAAGATGTGTATCTGCCAAATTAGCTTCGGGCTGCTCAGATCTTCATGCAAAAGCTCAATGCGTCTTTTGACTGTTAGAACTACCAGAAGATATTCCCAAAAAGACTTACCAAATGGGCCCTAATTCTTTTGAGATAATTACAAGGGCAAATTTCTTAAACTAACCTATTGTTTAGCTAATTGACAAATTGTACTCTTATTGTTTAACTATTGTCTTAAACCACTCTTACTGTTTTTAACAATCGACTAGTTCTACCCTTATCATTAGCGCTCGTTAATATTCCATCAAAATCCATATACATGTGACACCATGTGACATTTCAAAATTTTTAAAACCCAATATTACCCTCCCTGATCCCTTTCCTCTCAATGTAGCAACAAAACACCAGCACCTCCTCTCTCTCAACCCGGCTGAGAGGTTGGTTCTTTCGGGCAGGTTGATATATCAACTCGATTGTAACCTTTTGGTCTACTACTGGCAAGAAGGTTTCCCTAGTCCGTGCGCTATTCTACATCATAATGCAATGCCTTGGTGCAATCTATGGTGCCAGTGTTGTCAAGGTAGAAGACAATGAACAATGTCTTCTTTTGAAGGGTAGTTTTGACATTTTCAATAGATAAATGATGGTCGGTTAACAGTGGGGACCAACATGACACTTTTTGAAAGTTTAGGTACTATAGTGACACGTTTGAAACACTATCTCCAAAGTGCTCAGCCTTGGGCATTCGTTGTATGTCTCCGCAATGTAGACTGGGTTTCAATGTCCTTGTCATTGTTTCTCTCACTATTGGAGATGGTTGGAGCAGCTCTTTTCCATGTTTTTTTCCCAATATTTTTTCTTAAAGATTTTCAATTTGATACGACCAAGATCAACCACGAGTCAAAAGTTGCAAGTGGCAACAAGCTGGGGGAAAAGTTGTTAATTGACCAAGCTCACCTAGGTAGGTTGACCTAACCTGATCTTATTGGGACACCGGTTCATAACATGCACAAGCAACACGTGGTCAAGACGATTAGAACATCAACACCAACACATTTCATATAGGCCTATTGCCTACCATGTGCATACTACATGTATATGCAATGTGCACACAATGTGTCGATCAAGGGTGTGACAAGTGAATCGAACTCCAACCACGTGTGAGTAGTGTGTCGGTTCTTGGATGAAGTCCCTCTCTTATAAATAGATCTCCCTTATCAGCCAAGGTGACGAGCCAAGGTGACACTCCGAACTGAGGTAACATCTTACTCCAACAACTTTCCATCTCCACCATTGTAGCCAATTCCAAAATCAACACAATCTATTTTTTATTTTTCTCGAAGGCTGAGTTCCTTTCGTCTCCTGTTTTTTTTTATTGCTCAAATGTGCTTAGAAAATATCATAGAAGAATGGGAAGATCAATCTAGGGTTTTCGTTGAGAAATTTGAAGTAGAAGATCAATAGTGTTTCAAAATAGAAGGATAAACTTGGAATTATGAAAAAAATTTAATGATAATTATAAATGGCCCTAAACGTTTTGGATTTGTCGATATGGTCCTTTTGGTCATTTTGGATTCGTTGACGATCTCGGGCTCACTTTCACTAAATAATGCAGTGCTTGGAGGCCTTCCGTTGAATCCATTTCAACAAATTCCCCTTCAAAACTCTTATCAACTTCCAACTTCAAGCATAAAAAACAACGGGTCTGGATGTAGTAGGCACGTTAGGTAAGCACAATGAATAAACACGTAATAGCTGTGAGACACATGTCCTAATTAATGCGTCTTTCATCCAAATCTCCTGTATCAACATCATCTTCGAACACAAGCAAAACCTCCAAGGCTCCAAGCACTCTCATCCGCTTCGAAAAATCCTTCAACAGCAATAAAAGTCTCACGACATAAGATTGGCTTCCAAGTGTGAACATTGCAATAACGATTCTAACTCGGAAATTGCAGTGTTCTCAACAAGCCAATTTGTAAAAGAAACTTGGAGTTTTCCCTGCAGCATGAGATATTGGGGCTTGGATTAGAACTCCAGGAAGACAGAGAAAGAGAAGCGGTTCTCTCTTGCAATTCAACCCATTACGGCAAGAAGTCATCTGGTGCTCTTTCCCTCTTAACATCAGCAAGAATTGGGAGATTAAAGAAGAGAGAAAGGAGGAGGGGTAAAAATGACATTATAAAAAATTAATGGCCTAAACATTTTCTTAACATTATTTATGTTATGTGGGGTCATATTATATTATAAGTAATTTTTGAAACCATAAGGCCCATTTAAACATAGGGTTTTTTTTTTATTTTTTGAAAAAAAAAAGACTTACGCCTTGAGTATAGGTGGTACAAAAATGCAATGTGCTTTAGATGCATATCAGGCTGTGTTAGTTGGGGTTGGAGAGGTGCAATATACAAAGACAACAATGGAGGCAGTGGTTGGTGAAGATTGGGTGTATTGAGGGAGCTAATTGAGGCTATTGATTGATTCATCAAGAGCATTGATCTTAGGAATTTACCTAGACTCGGAATCATAGGTGGTGTTTAGTTCCATTGCTGTTTTCTGAGAAAATAGTGCCACATACGAGTCACGTCAGATTACTCATTTCTACATGGTTAGATTCATCTGACCATTTCTTGAACCTTAAACCCTAAAATTATAAACGCCAACTCTAAATCATAAACCCAAAAGCCTAAATCTAAAAACTCTAATCTTAAAACACTAAATTGTAACTAAAGATGCATTTGGTTGGACACAATTCCTTTGACCAGGTAGGAACCAATATAATTTCTCATTTTAATTATAATTGATGCCATGGTGCTAGTGGTTTGGGGATTCATATGTGGAGGCTTAAGTTTCATTGTATGTCCCTTAAGGCAATGGGAGACTCCCATTTAGAAAGGGCCAAATCGGATTAAGAAGAGAGTGAGAAT